TTCTCAGTGCTGCGCTTTAACCCGCTGCGCCACCAGGGAGGGCCTTCTTACCAATTTTTAAACTCAAGTCTATGAGTTCATCACACTCACCAGCTCCAGACACTCATGGCCCCAGGACCTGCTCTGTGTGGGTGGGGGTGTTGGGTAGGATCCCGAGCTGGGGCAAGGGCCTGCGGTCTGCGTCCGAGCTGAGCGCCGCCCCACCTGTCTCGGCAGAGAGCGGCCGTGAGGACGAGAGGGCGGCTGCAGAGATCATGGCGAGGTGCTACGTGCCCAGCCTGCTAACCAGCAGCTCCTGGGAGAGCTTCCGCTTCGCGGGCCACGACATCCGCATCACCGAGGCCACCGACTGCTACGGCGCCGTGGTGTGGCCGTCGGTAAGAGGGCGCCCCGTTCTGGGGCGTTCTGGGGTCTCTCCGCCCGCGGTGCAAATGTTTTTGTGTATTGTTGGGCAGAAGAAAACGGGGTTGTGCGGCTTTACCCTGTGACCAGCAACACTCGAATCAAGAAAGGACACCTTTAGAAAAATGCCTCCATCGGGTCATTCTGTTTCTGACTTTATCAGAACCTGTAGGATGAATAAAGCACGTGGTTGACACCTTTGCTTCTGATGAGGACAGGAGGCCAGAACAGCGAACGTTTTTATGCCCCACTGAACAGTCTGTCTGAATTAACTGTTAACATGAAATCGACATCTGGCTCCCCACGCAGGGTCACCTAAAAGGTCCCCAACCCCTGCCCCACTGACCCATGATGGAGGGCAGCCTCTTCTGCACGACTCCACTCCCTTCTTTGAAATGCCATCAGTATACCATAAGTTACTTTCTTCGAAGGCGGTCTCACCTAAGCAATACTTCTTTCTCTTTCTTTTTCTTGGTCTCTTTACCCCAACAGTGCCCAAGGGTTTTTCGCTCACCTATGTGCTGAGCCTCTTGGGGGGTGTAATTCTACTGCTAATCTGTAGTGAAGCCCAGGTATGCATGCGAGTACACATGTAGACACATACATGTAGACATGCGCAACCCCTCAACACACATGCACGGGGCATTGTTAAATGAAGTTTAATCTTGCTTTCTGTTATTACTCGCCAACACAATTGTTTTCTCTTCTAAATCTTCTCTAGGCCCTTGTTCTATGCTATTTTCTGGAAACAAATACAAAGCAGTATAACATGGTGGACAAAAATGTGATTGAGATCGGAGCAGGGACAGGGTTAGTCTCCATTGTGGCCAGCTTGCTTGGTAAGTAGTTCTGAGTGTGTGGGGGTCAGAATGGCATCATCAAATGCCATTCATTATTTTCACTCTGGTTTTTCTCTGACCAACGCCTATTTTTTTTTTTAAAGTGGCTACTTTTTTTTTTTTTTTTTAAGATTTATTTATTCATACAGAACTGGGGTACAGGACAGAGATGTGGAGGGTGAGAGGATTCACCAGAGACAGAGTGGGGAGCAGAATGGGCAGATCAATGAAGCACACTGCTGAGGGGAGCAGTGGGTGGGTCAGGAGAGGTCTGCCGCGCCCTGTGGTCACCTCCGGGGCAGGCGGGGATCGAACTCACGCTGAGGTGGCTGCTTTCAGCGCTACCCCTAACCCATTGCACCACCAAGGAGGGCCTATTTTTAACTCCTTAATTGGTTAAATGTGCTTCATCCGGAATCTCTGTCACCTTCCAAGTCACCTGACTGAGCTCCCCCAGTGTGTCCTGGGGGGCTGTGCAGCCCCCTGGTGTGCTCAGTGGCAGTGAGCTCCTACTGGGTCCGGCCCTCTGCGGGTCCCGGGCAGGCATCTGCTGATGACTCCAGCACTCTTACTCACAGTTTAGTCCTTTCAGTGTTCCCAGGCAGCTTGTACAAGTTTTGCGTCTTGAAGTCCTGTGATATTATGGGTCGCTGTCTGCTCACGAGTCGAGGACCCCGCCGACGTCCTGGCTGGTCCTAATGTGTGTGTTTCCTCTTCATTTCCCAGCTCATTTCCATTCTTGTCCCAGGGCCGGTCCTGTCGCCGCCGGCCCTTCTCCGGTGCAGGTGTGAGCCCGTGTGCCCGGCCTGCCTTGGGCGTTATCCGCCTCCTCGCCTTCTCTGATGTGCACCCCAGTCTCTCTTGATTTCCCTGATCTTCGGAAGTGCACACCTGCCACTCGAAAACCCTGAGAGGAATTCAAGATTTAGCAATCTACACATTTCTAAACACTGTGGAAATACAGGACCCTTCAAGCATTCCCCCGACAGGGAGGTGGGATCTGAGCCGAGCTCTGTCCGCACACGGCTGTGTGCAGCTCCCCTCGAATCTCGGCCGCGGGCGGGAGTCCTTGCTGCTGTCCGCTCTGTGGGCTGCGCTGGGAAGTCATTTCTTCCTTAGAAAACAATGGACTCCTTCTCTTGTATAATTTGGCATAAATATCAAAAGCTGGAAACTTTCTTTGGTCAATATTCTAAAAGCGGGGGTGAGGGGGTTCGCCCCCCGAAGAGATGAAAATTTGTTGAAAATGAGAGACTTATCCATACTAGAAGGTGAAGGTTTATATTTCTGTGATTCCACAATAATATGCACATCTCCCTCCTATTTTAATATTTCCCACAAAATACAACCACTGGCAAGAGAAAGACTTCTAACCCTGCTTCCTACTCTTACCCAAGTCTGTTCTTGTTTGATGGCAAAAGTCCAGGTTGACTTTATTTACTTTTTTTTTTTAAAGATTTATTTATTTATGCTTACAGAACTGGGGTACAGGCCAGAGGTGTGGTGGGTGAGAGCACTCACCAGAGACAGAGTGGGGAGCAGAACAGGCGGACCAAAAAGTACACTGCTGAGGGGGGCAGTGGTGGGTCAGAAGAAGTCTGCTGCGCCGTGTGGGTCAGCTCCCTGGCTGGGGATTGAACTCGTGCTGCAGCGGCTTTGGAGAGCTTCCTAGCGCAGTGCTTTAACCCGTGTACCACCAAGGATTCCCTGACTATATTTGCTTTTTTAGTGAATAACATTGCGCGCTACATAACTGTGTACGTTTCAGGCGTATCTCTTGATAAATCAGCATTGGCACCGCTCAAAGCCCAGACCTCTCCTTTACCATCGTGTCCTTTTTCCCGAGTTAGTCACCTCTGTTTTTCCTGCCTTTCTGGTAACCATAGTTGGTCTAGTAGTCTGGAAGTGCGTTCTTGCTCTATTGAGTTCACCAGTTTGATTCCTGTATGTATCATGTGATGAGTGAAATCATACGTTGTCGTCTTTCTCCATCTGCTTCACTGAGCACACTGCTGTCTGGGCCCCTCCGGCTGGGTTTCATGTTCTTCCTTTTTAATAGCTGAGCAGTGTCCTCTTCTCTGTCTACTCACCTGTGGATAAACATTTCTTTTTAAGCTCTTGGCTATTCAAATACTGCTGCACTAGACATGGGCATACGTAGATCTCTTCGAAATAGTGCGTTGTAATTTTCAGGTCAAGACCCAAACATGGGATTCATGGGATTGTTATGTTTTAATGATTTGAGGAGTTTCCATGCTGCTCCCCATAATGGCTGCACCAATTTATATTCCCACCAACCGTGGGCGAGGGCTCCCTTACGCCACATCCTTCCCACACTCGCCTCTCATCTTTTGGATAACGGCCATTCTTCATCTGAGAGGTGGCATCTTGCTTTGAGTTGCATTTCCCTGATAATCAGAGATGACAGGCAGCTTCATGTGCTTGCTGGCCGTCTGGTGTCTTCTCCAGACAAGCGTCTGCAGACCCGCTGCCCATTTCTGAGGACGACGGCAGACTTATGCGTACGTTGCCGGCGTTGCTCAGAATTCCCTGCGGGAGCCGTGTTTCCCTGGCGCTTGGCTTCTACAGTGTTGTTCCTTCTGATGTTTTCTTGAAAATGCTGCCACTATTCACTTCAGCTCGGAAAAGACCTCTTCTTCATCTGTGCATCTGTGATCGCTGGCTTTACGAAAACAACATACATGTTTGTGCCTGGGTTGTGATAAATTTATACTTATAAAGGGGCCAAGCTAAACGCTTGGACAGAAACCTGCAAGTCGCCATCCTTCCGCACAGTGCTACCAGACAGTGGGTGTCCCCCCACCATGTCTCACACCCGAGCACTCCCTGCAAAGCCACCGCTGTCCCCCGCTTAGCTCACGGGTCTGCTCTGCTCTGATGAGACTGAGGCTCAGCTGTCTCTTAACGATGTCCCTGTTCATCTGCAAGCGTGATCTCTGTGTTCCCTAGAAGGTACCCCAGTATTTTAAAAATCCCCTTCTCTTGATATTTCTCTCCTCGCACATGGAGATTTCAGACAATAACAGCAGCCACAATAAAGCATAACAAAAAACACAGGAGCAGAGAAAACACAAAGAGCACAGAAGTGCCACCAGCATCTGGTCTTTTCAAGGAGAGGCGCTCAGCTGTCTCGGCAACCATTGTGAAAGGGCTTTCCCTCGTCTGGGTGCTGATCAGGCTTTCCTGGGGCCAGTGACTGTGCAAATTGCAAAATGCCCGCTGGCTTCCAGCCTGTCATTGTGCCTTGTCCCATGAGGGTGACTTTTCCTGCTGTCCATTGTTTCACAGGTGCCCAGGTGACGGCCACTGATTTACCAGAATTACTTGGAAACCTGCAATACAACATCTCCCGAAACACCAAATCGAGGTGCAAGCATTTGCCACAGGTGAAAGAGCTCTCCTGGGGCATAGCTCTGGACCAGCGCTTCCCCAGAGCTGCCAACAGCTTTGACTACGTCCTGGCAGCCGACGTGGTCTACGCGCATCCTTTTCTGGACGAACTCCTGGCCACCTTCGACCACCTGTGCAAAGAAACGACAGTCGTCCTCTGGGTCATGAGATTCAGGCTGGAGAAAGAAAATAAATTCGTAGATAGGTTTAAGGAGTTGTTTGACCTGGAGGAGATCGCCAGCTTCCCCAGCCTGAACATCAAGCTGTATAAAGCTGTGAAGAAGACCCGGAGGAGTGCCTGACGCCTCACCGGAGGCCGGAGGGCGAAGGGCCCAGTACATTACTGCTTTCAAAGTGACCTTGGGTCACCTGACACAGCACTGATTTCCCCTGGGGAAATACACCCACCACACACCTGCCTTGCTGCAGCCAGGGGCTCTCCCCGAGATAGTCTGTGTGCAGCTGACAGCCACATTAGCCTGTGTACCACGGCTGGCACAGAACCTGCTTACTTCAGTCCCTGTCGTACCACTTACTGTTACTATTGTCACTTTAGTATGTGGCCTGATTATTATTATTATTTAAAGATTTATTTATTTGTGCATACAGAACTGGGGTGCAGGCCAGAGGTGCAGGGGGTGAGAGGATTCATCAGAGAGAGTGGGGAGCAGAACGGCAGACTGATGAAATACACTGCTGAGGGGAGCAGCGGGCGGGTCGGGAGAGGTCTGCTGCGCCCTGTGGGTCACTCCCTGGCCGGTGATGGAATTCGTGCTACAGTGGCTGTGGTAGCTTCCTAGTGCTGTGCTTTAACCGTTGTGCCACCAGGAGGGCCCTGATTATTATTTTTAATGTCTAACTGCCGCATGATGGCTTTTGAGACTGCTGTCTCTACAGTGAACATAATTATTATTTGAAGCACAAGCATATGTGATTCTCTCTTGAGTGTGATGGAAATGGGCGGCAGTGGGCTCTGAAGTCAGGCAGCTGTGGTCTCCTCACGCTGGCCTCGAGGAGTCGGACATCTCTGCTCGGCAGGCCTGGCTTCCAGCTCAGCCTCTGAAATCAATCAAGCTGGTAGATCTGACGTTATGGGCAAGGCCATTTCACTCAAGCAAATGAAAAGTGAGTAGAGGTGAACATAAAAACGGCTAAGACTTTGGAGAAGTTATTGTTTTATTTTTAAGCCCAGTATTTTTGTTTCACTGAAAGAGAAACAGATATAAACACTTGGGGGGAAAACACGCATGAAAAGATTTAGGCCTCTAATCGCAAATAGACACAGGGCTGGCTTTAGTTTGAAGTTTCGAGCTCCTCTGATGAACATGCATAGGCCTCGATTTTGAAATCCTGTGTGATTTCTTTTACATCTGGGCCCTAGAAGTACAGTGAAGCCCGAGGTCGTTAAAGTCAGGGCTAGAAGAGCAAAAAACAGGATTTTGTGCCGTATAAAGTGACCATGCCGGGCGGGAGCACTCTCGGGGCTGAGTAACGCTTGTCGGGCCGACGCCTGACGAAGAACAGCTCTTCCTACTTTGTGGGGTGCTCTAGTCCACTCAGGGAAGGGGCCACGACTGAGGCTGCTCCCTGGAAGCCTGCCCGGTCGCCCAGGAGGCAGATGCCCTCCCAGGGTTCACGTGGCCCTGGGAGTTTCCGCAGCTGCCCCGCACACCGGGTCCCCGAGTCTTCGCCCGCCTTCTACTGCATCCTCACCCCCCTTCCCAGACCAGAGACCCAGCAAGTGGGGGCCCCCCTCCCCCAGGCCCCCCAGGTCCCTCAGGTCTAGGACCCCCCAGTCAGAAGTGTGTTCTTCACCACCCACTCCCTCGGGGTCTTAACGCTGTCGTTTTCCAACGCTTCTTTAAGCAAGGGAAGTCTTTTCTTCTAGACGAAGCCCTCACTCAAGGTCCGCGAGGGTGTTTGGAAATGACGAGGACGATTCTCCTGAAATCCTCTTACTTCCAGCTTTCTCCTGGGTCAGGGTAGGGCCTTGGAGGAGGGGCGGGAAGTCGCACAGCCATCTGGAGAGGTCAGTCCGGAGTGGAGCAGCAGCAACCACAGCAGGGGCTCTGATGCCTTAGCAGTGTTGGGGTGCTGGGCGCAGGAGCGGGCGAACAGGGGGTGATGAGAGCTGAGCAGAGAGGCTTAGGGTACCGGAGGGTACGGGTCTTCCCTTGCAGGCTGGATTTTCAGGATATAGGCCCAACGTGGAATTTGAGGTACAGGTCACTTATTGGGGTGTGCCCTTGAAATCAAGACCCAATGGGCCGTGCAAAGGAGTGGAAGATGTAGGATGAAATAGGGTTTAGCTGCGGGGTCTGCCCGCCACAGCACGCTGGTATTTCCAGCACCTTCTGAGTTGGGGTGAGATGTCTGGGCCTCTGGTGTTGCTCCTCACAGCCACCCTGGGAGGCCTCCTGACGCCGGAGCATGCGGGAATGGGGGGGTCCCCTTCTGCTGAGGCCACCCTTGAAGCTGAGGGTCCTCGGCCACAGTGCTTCCAGCAGAGGGTGTGCGCCAGGGTGCCCACAGCCTGCCAGGTCAGAGTGTTCGCTTCTCCCCGTGTGGAGTGGCGCTGCCTTGGCTGCTTCGGCAGGAAACCACATCACTCCCTGAGCTGTTCTGGGCAGGCGGAGGGGCACAGGGAGCTGTTTGTCAGCCATGCAGGCAGGAGGGACTGCCCCGGGCATGTACCGTGCGGGGAAGAGGCCAGCCGCAGACCCGTGTGGGAGCCAGCGGGCCTGTCCGGAGAAGTCTGCTGATGGCCAAGTGTCCCGTCTGCACCCCTGGATGTGAAGCCGTCAGCTCAGAGATGGGCTCGCCCTGGAGCAGGTGTGAACGTGCAGCGAATAAAACAAGGGCTCACCCACATTAAGAGCAACATGGACACATCCTGAGAGTTCTTTCCAAGGCTGCACCTCCGCCCTGAATGTTGTCTCGGAGTCTGTTGGCTTGGGAAGGCGTGAATCGACCACCCCAGCGGCTTCAGAACCTGCCTGCCAAGCGCCAAGTTTCTCAAAGTTGTCTCAGAAGCTCCTGGGAGTGTTTCAGGGGCAGGGGCAGGAATTTTGACTGAACAAGGGGAACAGGTGACCCCCCTACTGAAAAGTGACGGTCACGGCTAAGGTATTTTTAGGTCAGAGAGATACAGCGTCTTTCTACGACCGTGCTCCACCAGACCACATGCTTCTCAGCCTCTCCTCTTTCCCACAGGCCCCATCTGTCAGCCCGCGCTTGCTCGTCAGGCCATTGTTTGAGTGTTTATGGCGTCCACCCGCAGATTTTCACACCCACCCATGCACGCCGCTCCTCTGCAGGGCTTCCTTCTGGGAGTGCCGCTATTTTTATCTTCTTGTTTCATTTCGCCACACTTTCCTAGATTCGATTTGGCGATGATTTAATTTCAGAAGATGTAATTTGAGCCGGCTTTTTCTATCTCACAATTGTTTTTTTTTTTTTTTTTGTTTGTAGCGAAGAATTGATTTGTTAACTTCAATCCAAGCGAGTAAAACCGTGAATTTCGCTTTTATCCCATTCGTATCTGTTTTCCTTTTTTGACAAGTTAAAGTGCTGGACCGAGAATGCGGGTCTGATTCTTGCGGTCATTTTCTAGGTTTCCAACAGAGGGAACATACAGGTTGTCAGGGTTTTAATAGAGGTTATCACAGGACAGTTATTGCTTTATGGCAGAAGGGCCAACGTGTTGGTGACTCTCTGCCGCTTGCAATGACAAGCCTGTTACCAGGGGGGTTTGTGCCTCCAACGTTCTCAACTCATATTAAGAAACGGAGCACTGTACTAAAATCTTTTGTCTGGAATTTGTGGAGCTGTCTGATTTCATTCCTGCCAAATTTTGTCTACTGGCCTTTTTTTTAAAATTGGTTTTCACCCCACAATTCTATTCTGTTCTCTTTTTTGGAAGAACTGTGGTACTGGGTAACATCCTAACAGATTTGTCACCAACCATGGAAAGTCATTCTGTGGGAGAAAGAAGACAGGAAGGGTCACAGGACGGAAGGCCCCTTCCTCCACCCCGTGTTGCCCATCAACGGCGGGTTTTCACAAAGCCACATCACACTCACTTGAAGCAGCACCGTTTGCTATGAACAGATCTAGCCTTTCTGAGTGTCCTTTAGAAGTAAACGTGTGTAGGATTTTGATACAAGAAAAGGCTTATGGACAACCCAGGGTTTCTAGTCTTCTGTGGGCCAGAGGGTCAGCGTATTGATGAGCTTAGAACAGATATACCCTGTGCAGCTTCTCTGCTTCATTTTAATTTTGTTTGGAGGGCACCTGCATGTGGAGGAATTAAAAAAAAAGTCAAATATGTGCATTTAAAAACCAAATTAGAAGGTAATCATGAGAGACAAAATTGGGAACAGAGCAGGTAAATACTTTCAGGAAAGCAGGGGGAGGCAGGAAAACAAAGCAGAAATGCCAGGGAGGCCCGTGTGTCCAGCCAGCTCCTCTGGCTTCTTTAGGATGCAGGGAAATAGTCGTAAATGATTCCCACCTCCAGGTTGTGGCATTTTTGAGTCTGGGATGTGAAATTAAGTTTGTAACATTTACCTGCGAGCCCAGTTTCAATATTTGCTCAGCTTCCAGATTTCCCATAAAATCAAAGACTGTTCTGAGGAACGACATGGCGGGGGTGACCTGCCAGTCCTGTGCCAGGGGCCTCGGCATTGGTCAGGCCTGCGGCCTTGCTACCTCCTTCCATTATGAGGCCTGGGCTGGATCGCGGTCTCCAGAGGGCAGCGGCCCTGGCGTCCAGGCTGCAGGGCGCACAGCTGCCTGTTCTGCTCACCTGAACTCTGGCCTCCACAGCAAATGGGGCTTTTTGGAAAAGTACAAAGGCGGGAACTTTTCCTCTCAGTTTCCCTGTTCCTGAGGCAATTGTCTTTGCCTGGAATCCAGCCATATTTTAGAATTGGCACTCAACTATCAAGGAATTTCAAAGTACCACTGAAAATGAAAACAGATGTCCAGGTCAATTTTATGATAGATGGTATTCATAGGAAAAAAAAAAAAAGAATAAAAGAAAAAAACCAAACAACTGGATATCTGCTATCAACCATGAACAATCGACCACACTAGAAAATATTGCTGGGTTTTCCCAACCAAAGCCCACGCCAAGTGAGATGAAAACAAGCCACTGAAAAAGTATTTTAATAGGCAGATTTTATTCTATAATGCCACAAACAGGCTACAGGGCTTTTGAAAGTTACTTGTTTGGTAAATGCTAGAGTTTGCAGTTTAGGATTCAAAAATGTCTATCTCTGCATTGCTCATAGTGTGTACA